GCGTCGAGTAGCTACAACGTCCATGCACACTGATAAACGTGAAGTACTGGGAAATACGTGTACGCTGATTAAGTCAAATAAAGCACGCAACAAGTCCATGTCGTTACCACACCTTTTTAGTAGGATGGGAGATAAACCGTACAGAGTGAAAGCAGGCTTTACTTTCCATAGTTTCATCCCCTCCTTGAAAGTTGAAAACTGCCAGTTAAGCATTCGTCCGTTATGCCAGGGGGAACGCTAACCTGGTTGCCGTCTACTGTATAGTCTGGGAAGGTGAGTGCTAAACAATTCTCATATACCCTCAACACTTTCGTAAGCGACACCATTTGGGCAAATTAGTTTTGAGTAGACTGTTCGGGGGTTTGTTAGTCTACTTTTGAAATGTTCAGCTATTGCTCCTGGGTAATCGGATGACTACATAGCCTGTAATTCTTTACTTCGGAGGTTTAGACTTACCAACAGACGTGAGAACAACTAGTTATGATAATTCATACTGTCAGGCCCAACGTGCCTGCAGGAGAAAGAAAAATGATGGAAAAAGTGTCGAAAAAATTACCAAAGTTGGTGGTTAATTTGGGACCTGTATGTCAAGGTGAAAAGGCGGAAACTTCGGAGGAAAACGTCAATTTCTAAAGTTATTTTACATGGTATATACAAGGTCATGCAAATACATTTAAATAACCACGTGGAATGCAAGGGAAAACTATCCCCGTAAGGTACAGAAGGCACCATGAGCTCAATAGATTACATTCCAAAATACTGGGCATTTTCATCTTACCCTGTAAGATAAGTACGAAGGTATCCTGGGAACCTCACTGTTCGTCCTTAACCTATTCTTCGCTTTGTCTCGTCAGAGGTCTTTGTTTCTGTTGCAGTGCTATTTATCTTTTTGCGTATCAGTAGGTGATGTTTTAGTGTGGCATATAGAGGAACAATTGGGTAGGGGCTCATAGGATTATTCCGCATTAGATAAGTTTATCAGAAATAACACTCAGTGATGCAGTAATAATAACTGCCCAGGTCCTGCACTTACATTCATCACAGGATTGTTCACAACGTGAGCCAGTTTTTGACGATCGGTACTATTTCCATTTCGGCAACTGTTTCCGTCTAAAACGGAAGTGGGATCAGCTGCGGTTTTCTTCCTAACCACTGACAAACTCTGATCAACTTGGATGGTTCCCCTAATAGTCACTTTACTGATGCCGCCTACCAGCCATCATTGGAGAACGCCTACGAGTAGATAGTGGTGGTTAAATAGATCCATGCTTGTGGTGGGTATAGTAACGTTAGCAAAAATAAAAATTCAAGGAATATGCTTGCGTGAAACCACGTTCAGACAAGCATACCTTCTCTTGAAAGTTGTGATGGACTTTCCACCTGCAGGAGAACGCTGACCTTTGCACTTGCGTCAGTATACCACCAGGTTTTGCTGACAACATCCAGAAAATACAGCAAACGAGCACCGATGGGGTGGTCTCCCATAGTTAGCATTCTTGATAAAACCGCAGGGTTTTGGCAGCATTTTACATCCAATCCATATTTATTGTGGTACCAACGTTAGTTCACGTCCTTGTTTGTACGTGATGAAGATTTAGATTTTGAGATGGATTCCACTAGCTGTTCTGGCGACCATAACATAGGCAGTAAATTAACAGCGTCGCTTAATTCTTTCGTTTCTGATGCAATGCCAGAAGACTGTGTGCCAATGGAGCAAGCTTCAGTGACTGGCCGCAGCGATATTTTCGATCGATGTTGCGAAGATGTCTATGGCGACTACCTGAAGTGCCACAAATGCACTTTGCACTGGTCGTGGCAACTTAGGTGAAAGGAACTCTCATGAAATTTCTGTTGGTCCATAGCTTCACGAATTCGAGGAAACATGTGTACGGCCGAATCATCCACTAAGTGGACATCGCGGAATAGTTTGTCAAGACGCTGGCTATTCGAGAGGTCGTTTCTTACAAGAGTCACTGCTTCCAATGTCACTTCCATGGTAAACATGTAAGTGGTAACGTACATGTTTAATTCCAGCTGCAGAGCACATAAAAATGATAGAAATCGCGAGTTCGGATTAGTCACATCATGCTCAAGGAAGCCAAATGCAGCATGCAAACGCCATATTTCTTCATTGTCTAGCCGAAATGGGCATGAGCTAAATGGTAATGCTCGTCGATCAAATTTACATAAGAAAAACCATTTCCTGTTAAGCCTCTCAAGCTGTATAATTAATGCACGCAGTGAAGTTAAGAAGCCGTAACAATGTACTCTGAATTACGAAAGCAGTGACCAAAAGAAGTACGCATACCTCGGAAGTAATGAATATACTCCCCAGATGTTCTTTCGGAGAAACCTCTCACTTTTAATAGCTACCCCATAACTGTGTGATTCTATCCAATGACTGGCAATGTAAAAGACTATCTAACGAAAGTTGCATGTACGCAGCGTTTTAGGAAGCCACATATAAATTTCTATTCTTCATCGAACTAAATTGATTCGTTTAGTTCGAAGCCAAATGCAGTTTCCTTTATGTTAGCTAGAAATAGTACTTCCTCTTGCGATGCAAACCCAAACAGACATGGAAGAATGTACTGTGAAATTTTGGATGGCTGCAAGCATTTTTTAAGCAAGCAACATAACTCACTCTAGGGCATTATAGGAGAAAAACTGTGACTTTCAGTGGTCTCATAGGGATCTATGAGCACTTAGACTACCATAGGTTCCGACTTTCCTTCGTGGTCCCATTTCTACCAACATATTATCTGTCTGTTATGGATAATAATGAATTTTAGCCGAGATGTTAGCATCTATATGAATACCATGCAGTTCTTAGAGATACACCCAAACCTGATGCAATTCAGCAGAATTGGATTAATCACGGAATTCTGCCCTTGAAAATAATGAAATGGTGAAGTTTTACGTAGGAACCCAAACAAGGACACAAATTTTCAACTAGTTTCCGAAGTTGTATTAAAACAGACATCACATCTCTTAAAGGAATTCCACTTCGTTTTCTTCTATGCCTTTTATAGAAATGCCACTCTTATCACCACTATCCTGATAATTAGGCAAATAAGTGGTTGTTGCACATGTATTTCTCTACAGCAACCTAGCCAGATAAAAATCAAGTTCATTATTTATGCGTGCCAACTGTTGAAAGAGTCCTAACCTGAGATATCAATATATATATACATAATTCCTTTGTACATAGGAAAAGCTGTCAATTTTAGCAAACATGAGTATGATATTTAAATATTATGCTTATAAATATAAACATAGGTATAACTGCGTTACAATTTTTTATAAAGTCTGTAGTAACCATAAGTGTTGTTTATAGGTGGCGTTTTGCACGTAAATTCACTTAGTGATCACTCTGTTAATATGGTAGTTTGAAAAATAAACCTCCCAGTCTTTCGTCCCGTTTTTAATATTTCTAGTACTGAGACCGAAATAATTGGTGTAAGGTATTTCAAAATCGAGATCATTATCTTCCGTTTACCTTGGCATTGTCTGATCTTTTCCACGACAGGAGGTATAATAATGACCATTACACCATTCTGACTTCTTTCAACACAGCATGTGTCAATAACGGTGTCAGGAAAATTTGCTGTAGCCGGAAGAAAACTCTCCAGAACTTGAAATACTATTTTACGCGAATGACCAACTCAGTTTAAACGCAAGCGGTATTTGAGGACAGACAGTAAGTTGAAGACTGACTGATCGTCCAAGTATAAGCCAATATAGCAAGTTAACTACTATCACTACAGTAAGAAAAAGTCAACAAATAACGCCAGTATGGTATACATTAATACTGTCGATCTCATTGCTCTGGTCTTCTGTCGACGAGCAAATATCTAAGCCAAGATAAGTATTGTTAACTGGGACGAATGAGTTTCGAATAAACAAGTACACTACACGTCCCTTCAGTGTCCACTATCACTGACACTATGCGATTAAAATAATCTAGGACACCACAGAAATTTAGGAGTAATGGAGATAGAACAAGTACCTGAAAATCATTTCTTCCATTAATACGGGAGCGAGTGAGTTCCACCAAAAATACTCTACGCCCCTAGGTAAGGGGTATATCTTAGGCCTGTATTAACAGCGACTTCGCAATTTGTCTTTAAAATGATAATATCTTCGAAAACTGCATACACACACAAGAATGCTGTTTATTGGCAGTTCGTGACTTATTACATTTAGATGCAAAAATGAAGCTTTTAAGTGTTTTCCGGTAGCCAAATCTATAAAACATGAGAAAACGTTCTACAAACGACCTGGTGACAGTGAAATTCCCAGCTTGTAGTAATGGACAGAATGAACGTAGCTTATTTGTAAGTGATGTTCAACTTTGTGATGACTGACATCAGAACTGTATGGAGTTTGGCTCTCGATTTGTTGGGGATTTTACGGACAAAGAAATTACTTGTTATATTTGTGCTTCAACCGCTATCAACCAAATTGTAATCAATACGGTATTCACTTAAAAATATTCCCACTTCAGTAGCACTGCAGAACGGATAGCTCTCTCTTTTCCTTGGCATTTACCCTTGGTGTCTGAAATTTTCTTAGGTATTCCGTAAATATAAAACTAGCCAGATTTCTAGTTTAGAAAGTTATCAATCCATAAACAGCACTTCTATGGTATCTAGGAATATGTGGAACGGTCACTGGGTATGACACTGATGTGCACTAACGGACTATGTGCTTCAGCAGGATGTTGCTACTAAAAAAGCCGATTGTGACCTACCTACTTACTTGAAAGCCTTGGTGATCTGTTTGTCTGCCAGACGATTCTGTTTCCAGTTATCAAGTGTTATCAAAAATTGATTTCTTAAAGACAGGTGTAGCCTGGCCTCAGAGAGCAAAGAATTGAAGTGGAAACATCAGAGAAATTGATTTTTTTAATCCTTCAAAGTAATCATCCATGTAACTGTAATCTCTAAAACGAAAAGCAGTAATAATAAATCGAAGTCTAAAAATTGGATATTGTGCGAGCGGTTGTTCAAATAGTTGTTATACAACAAGGATTATGTTTCGTTTTGGGGATGTAAATACACATTGTTGTCAGTTCTACTTTTTAATTATTGACTATGAAAACATAATCTCATGATAAGGTGAGTACTTTCCGCTAGCTGATCAAATTCATTTGTAAGCCCTGGTCCCGTCTTTGTTGTGAACAGCCTTGATAAGTATTTATTCATCCATTTATATATTTTAATAGCGTAGCTTTATAAGTATTGTGTAAACGCCAGTGCATTCACTCAAATAAGGTGTTCAACCATAGCTATTTGATTGTTGGATCTTTTTCTGTCATACTCTTATGTCGAGACTTAAGATTGTCGTCGGAGGTTTCTACTTCTCTGCTATCCCATAAGCTTATAAAGTTGAGAGTATTTTGTAAGACTAGTGTTTAATTCGTTTTTAGATCTCAACATCCACTCTTACACGAGTTGTACACGAAGGATCTTTGTGTTGTGTAGTTGCACAATCATGATTAGAATAGGTTAGATATAAGTGTAACATTTCAGATTCGCTGATTGAGAATAGAAGGCTCAAAGCCTATGATAATCCTTAAGAGCGCTAACATCACTTATTCAGGAGTTGGTGATTGTGAGAACCAATACTCCACAGCGACATGGTTTCGCCTTGAACCCTCTAGCTATGCCGTCTAAGGTGTTCCAACCTGGGAAGAGAGAATAGATCAGGTTCGTAATCATTATTTAAGATTTTAAACATTGTAATATGAACTCTTCACTTCCAATAGTTTAATCTTTCCTCGTATGATAATTTCGTCATGCCAAGAATCATATGTGTTGCCTTCCTTTGAACCCTTTCTAGAATATGTGAGTTCCCTCTAAGACAAGGAATGACTACCTGAATACAATTTTGCCAGTCTTGACCTCACCAGAGATGTATATAAAGAGGCAAAGGCTCTGTGAATTGTTCATAATGATCTGAAACTACGTGCTGCCACCACGTGAGTGTGCTGTAGTTTATAAGTTGTGACACCTGAATCCAAATGTGTCTGAGCTGATGGGACTGTTATTCCCTCTGGTTCATAGGGACTTGACCCTTGCCTGTCCAATGCTCTGTTTGCTGCAATTAAACCTCGGATATTTCAATAATTTAAACGTTAGTTATAATTCGGGCTTCCTGCTAATGTGTCACATGGACCGAAATATGGTTAACTAAGCTGCATACAAACGATTCTGTTTTACTGCTTGTGGTGTGTTTAATTAAATTAATATGTGCTGTTATCTACTTGTCTTGATGGTCATTAGAGTAAACAATATTTTTATCGGAATTGTTCATAAAGTGAGCGTCATAGAATAAAAATAATGACAAACTGCAACTCAGGAACGCTGTAGAGCACTGTGCTCTTTAAATGTGTTAGAGTTGAAAATTCACTGCATTTTTCCATACTGAAGTAGTCAGTATAGGTTTGATGATGTTATCCATTGGCTGACATTCAAGTGTCTAACCCGTTTAATTTAACTTCCCACATAGTGGTGTGTGTTTCTCGGTAGTTAATGTTTCCTCGTATCTTTCAATGTCTTATATAGGCTGGTTTGATGTGTCGGTTTAATCAATCAATCTTGGAACTTACATAAATTTCCCGGGTTGCTTTTTCTCAGATATAAATAGGCATAAACAAATAAATTTCAAAATGTTAGAAATTTCCATTCGGTAATTTATTTGGTCAGCTAAGGAGGAACTATATCTCTGTGGAGTAGTGTAGGTACCACACCAGTGGAGGATATGTAAAGGCTGTCTATCTATGATCATGGATGTCTGCGATCTATCTCCCATGTTAGGTGGTAGATGTAATAATGTAGGCATTATTGAGGTTAGGCATCAAGTGTTAGGTAAGGAGGGAAAATCAATCAACGAGGCTGTAAAGTTACATCGATTAAGGCCGCCAGGACACATGTTACACATGTCGCCTTCCTCGACGACGAATGTTAACTGACATAGGATGAGGTCGGAAAAGAGAAAGCTAGTGGTGGTTAAAACAAAACTTGGAATCAGTCCATGAAACTGTTAATAGTTAGTTTGAGGCAGCCACGTAGAGAGGTATAAACTGTGTAGTTGAGATCCTCTGAATTCCAAGAGCCAATAAAGGCTGGAGACAAATGGTGACATGGCTTGAAATCGTTCTCATCCGTGGAGATGCATTCACTTTTTTTGTGATCGCCTATATCCATTAATTCAGACTGTTTTTTCGTTACTATTCCTTCTCCGTCACATTTCTGCTTATTATTGTTCTTTTGAGTTTCTATTTTCTCTTTTGTGCTAGATGGAGTGTGGCAGCTCGCACTGCTATATTTCTGTGCAAAGTTCTATGTTGCAACTAGTCAGTCAGGTTCCCACATAGACTCATAAACTCTTCGAACAAATCTCTCCAGGAGTAGTGTCAGTACCCTCAGGTGACTAATTCAAGGAGGTTTTCAGAAAAACACAGACACCTATTAGACAGGATTAGCATAAGTTCTAAGCCTTCTATATTCAATCCATGAATCTGCAATCTTTTGTCTACTGACGTGTTTATCAACATTTTTCTGCACAAATGTGCACCACTTCAACTTGCCACACTTCTGTAAATCGCACAAGGATTGAGAAAAGAATTGTAATTTGAATACAGTGGGTGAATAAAGAAACGAAATAAAATAATTAGGTGAATATTAGTAAACTTTTTGAGAATCTGAAAAATGACAGAGAGAGAGAGAGAGTGATTTCAAGTCTTATTGCAAAGTTTCAGACCATTAGTTCTTAGTGTTTCGAACACCCGTGAGCAGATAGTCTGTAACTCTCTGCATAGCTCAAACAATAGTCAAAAACTTGACGAATTGCTGTCATGACACGTGTACAAGGGCCCGTGTAGCATTTGTAAAACCATGTTGTGTCAGGCCTGCTGCACAGCAGTTCGCTCTGTCCTTCTTTATAGATGTCAGATATGGCCATTGAAAGTGGAAGTCTTGACGAAGCAAGTTGTCTTTGACCATAAGTATTGGCGTTCTGTTTATCGTATTGAGTGGTATAACATGGCGAGTAATATAAAGGTTAGGCGTAGAGTGCTAGATAAGGAGGGAAAGTCAATCAGTGGGGTTGTGATGCTAAGTCGATTGAGATGACTGGGACAGTCGTTACATATGCCGAGTCATTATCTTCCTCTACTAGCGATGTTAGGTTGGAAAAGAGTTTGGGGTTGTGAAATCAACTCACACCACCCTCTTCACTCACAACTCTCCCCTTGCATCTCATCAGGCAAAACCAGAAGCCTATATAGAAAACTATATGCTCGCACTAGCAAGTACAAAAACTCAACCATACTCTACTTAGCTCGTGTTCTGTGCGATAAAGAAAGCATTAGGCGTGAAACTTATAAAATATTAAATAGTCAGTAGAACAACTGAACCTCGTCTTTCCAACTCATATCATTTGCAGGTACAACGTTTTCTTTCTTTTCCTTTTCTCTCTTTTTGTTGTGCGCTGTTTTGTTTCTCTCTTCCTTACAAACTCTACTTAAAACATTATTCTTCGTTCTTTCACACTCTGTGTATCTCGACCTTTTTGTTACTGCTTACGCCAGTGAGTATGCTAGCGTCTACTTTTCTAACACCTCCAAACACTGTTCAATTTCGGCTTTGCTACCGACATGCCAATATGTTGTCAAAACTAACTGAGATTACCCATAATCTATGTAGAATTTCTATTTATTGATAATGTACTAGCTGGATGCAATATTGTAGTAAAAATGCTGAGAATTCCATTCTGTATCACAAGTACTGTTTTGGAATAAAGCAAATTATTATTATTATTATTAAAAATCAAACCTGGAATCAGTCTATGAAGCCTATGGTTGTTGGTTTAAGGTAGCCACGTAGACAGGTGTGGACTGTCTGGTTCGGGTCCTCAGGATGCTATGACCCATTGACTTGACAGTGTTCGTGATGTTTCAAAATCTCCTTCATTGGTGGAAATGCGTTCACTGTTTGTAATCGTCTAGGTCCATTACATCCTCATTTCCCCCATGTGTTTATTCTGTCTCCCATGCATTCCTGTTCATAATTGTTCTTGTGAATTATTCTCTCTTTCTGTACCTTTGTGTGCTATATAGAGTGTGGCAACTTGAGCTAGTACACTACTGTACGAAGTTCTACGCTGAAACTCAATCGTTTATCACTGAGAGTTTTCTCCCTTCTTATATATTGGGATGACCCACACACTACTGCTTTGCCTCGTTTTAGAATAGAAACACCTTTTGTGACTATGTATGCAGTAAGAAGACCAGTGCTTACATCCCTTTCAGTAGTAAGTAAGCTAGCTATAATAAAATTGCAGGGCAGTGCTTGAAGAGTGCCCGCAGGTGTTCCTCGGGGAGCAGCAACTTAATTACTTTATTCTGGTGAGATTCATTAATGGTCTTCGTAACATCTGCTTTAATATGCTGAAACTTACAAGTTGGCTGACTTAAATCACTGAGATTTGAAGATTATACGAAACAGTAAAGTTATCGTCTAATGGTGCTACCGATATTGTGAAAATACAGGTGGCTAACATGTAGTTTTTTCAGGTCCAAAACGATAAAAGTAGCTTGCCGAAGACTTTCAGCGTAAATTAAATTCAGTCTCAGTCGTTTTGAAGCACCCACATCTTATTTTTCTCCAAACGGTGAAATTTCTCTAGCTTATGTTTTTTAAAAACTAAGTTCTAAATATTGATCTCCATCATGATACACAGGTGTAAAATGTTAAAATTTTTATGCGTACACAGCCATACACCATCTAGTATTGCCTTTATTTATCCATTTTTTTACCTGGCGCTCATCGACTCAACTGACAGGCGACATGTCTTGGGTTTGAGTCCTGCCCCACTTACTTCAGTTTGGGCCATTGAGCAATATTATAAGCTCTCATATAATAATTGTGGTTCATAACAAGGTGCCTAAAAAGAAAATCTGTTCTGAGTAATTGAGTTTAAACAACGATAACCAAGCAAAGTATACAGAATTTCGTAGTATTTAGCTTCCGTTGAAAACTTAGTATGGTAACTTGTCTTTCTTAAGAAAAGTTTGATTGAATTTATGATATTTATTTATTCATCTACTCCTGAA